GCAGCATTTCCGATCCGAAAGCTTTTCTTCTCGGAGCCGTCGGGCGTTCCGGGGCTTCCTTCTCGTGGTAGGGAAGTTCCCTAAACTTGGGAGGGGTTTAGGGAGATTAGAGAGAAGTTAGAGAGAGAGAGAGAAAGAAAGGCTTATGGTGTGACGAAATTATGAAGAGTTCATCTCTTATTTATAGGGATTTTATCGTAGAGTAGTCTCTAAGTTTCGTCCATATCTTCCGCGTACGAGCTTCGTTTTCTATGTTATTTATATCCACACGTTGGCATTTACGAGTACTACAATTTTCATTTAGAACCCGTCGACTAATTCTCATTCTATCTTAGATTTACAAAATTGTATTCAAATTCGCCGCGCTTGAAGAGTAGATACTAAGTTTCGTCCATATCTTTAACATACAAACTCTATTGTCGACGTTATTTATATCAACGCGTTGGTATTTATGAGTACTACAACTTTCATTTAGACTATGTCGGCTAATTCTCATTCTATCTCGGATTTTGTTTAGATTACTATGGCTAAAAAGTCATCTATCGTAAATTCACTATTTACGTCTCCCGGTGCCGTGCCGGTTTTGCCGAAAAACTTCGACGGGTCATAACTTATTCGTTATAACTCGTATTTCGACGTTCTTTATATGTACGAAACCCTTGTAACATATACTACAAATTGGTTAAGATTAATCCTTCTAAATAATCTTCCATCAAAAACTCATTTGTGATCCTTATTGTCTCTAAATTAACTAGCCCGGATCTGCAGGCGTTACAATTTCGAGTTGTAGGTATTCCCATTCCATTTTTGATAAGAATAGTTTTGGATGAAGAAGTGTGAAGAAGATGAAGATATGTCCTGCAAATGATTTGTAAGAGAGAGAGAGAGAGAGAGAGAGAGAGAGAGAGAGAGAGAGAGAGAGAGAGAGAGAGATGTGGGCCCAATAAATTATTTATTTTGGTTTTGTATTATTTTAAATATGATTAGATAAAATTAATTCTAAAAAGAAATAAAATGGATATATAAGTTTTTTTTATGTGGGTAAAAGACTCTTTTTAAAGATTTTAAAACTATAAGATTCATCTACAAGATTTTTTGAACTTAAAACCAAATTTATTATTTGAAGATACAAGGGACCATTTATGAAGTTTGGTAAAATAAAAATGGTATAAATTAATAAATACCCTTTTTTATGATTCTCTCATCTTTCCCGCTCTCATATATGCTTTTAGCGCCTCTTCGAACCCAAATCCAATTGACACTTCACCCAAAATCCAATTTACAATGGCTCGAAAGAAGCCCTCATCTTCTTCTTCACCAATCACGATAGGTAAAGAAATTGACTTTCTCCATTTTCGCAAGAACCCAAGAATCGGCTTTACATTTATATGAATTTGTTTATGTCAGGGAATTGCCAGGTGGTCGTTGAATCAAAGAACTTCAAAGCTGAGTCCAACCAAAACAACCTCCAAATATCCCTTTCCAGAAACTCCAAAATCGTGATCTCTGGTATTCATATTATGAACTACAAGAAATGATTTCTTCTCTATGTCACTGGTTCTAAATCGTTTGATCTTAACAAAAGAACTTATTAGCACTCTTAACCCTGACGTTCCTAAAGTAATCGGTACACTTGACGGCATTATAGTTTGCGGGAAATAGCGAAAGGGTTTCTACTTGATGTGCTATTTCCAGAAAAATCCACCGTTTCTTTTGTTACTCTAAACTAACATGAGTATATTTTCCCGTTTTTTCTTGATTCCTTAGCAGCGAACAACAATGCAGTTTCATTAAATTGGAATTTGGGGCTTTGGGCTTTCTAGAGAAAACAGTTGTTTTTTTTACATTGCTGTGATTGCCATGGCTGATTTTCTTCCTTTTTTCATCTCTCACCAAATCTATTGTTTGTGGCAGTTGTGGAGGATGCGAATGAGAAAGAACATAATGATATCCGATTGTCTTGTTTGGGAGAAAATGGTAAAATACTCATATTCAGTTAACTGTATTGTTAGTTAAAATACACTTTACTATTGATCAACATATAAAATACAATTCAACAGAAAAAAATTGGGGGAGTTCCATGGACCATAGTTAGTCCTTTCAAATAACCTGTAACCATAAAATGAACAAAAAGTATATTCTTAGCTTGACAAATTTTCCAAATAAGGGAAATGTTGTGATTAATATGAACACCCCAAAATGGGAATGTTGCAACTGTACAAAAGAAGGAATGTTTTCTATATTAATGACTATGGGCTTGTGAATTACTTCTTGAACATTATTAAGTAATAATTATATTACTCATTTCAAATTTCTCTACTTCTAATCAGGTGATTATAACTTCATGCTTGTTAACCCTAAGGATTCTGATGTTCTATCCAAGTCTCTACTACAAGTAACTCATATTTCTCTCTCTCTCTCTCTCTCTCTCTCTATATATATATATATATATATATATATATATATATATATATTGTAGTAACTCATATTTCTCTCTCTCTCTCTCTCTCTCTACATATATATATATATACTATATATATATATATATATATATATATATTGTAGTAACTCATATCTCTCTCTCTCTCTCTCTCTATATATATATATATATATATATATATATATATATATATATATATATACATATATAATATGGGAATTCACTTATACATAATAGTCACTGTATTATACATCTTTAAGACTCATGTATGATGCATCATCAATCACACGTTTTGTAGGAAATATTAAGCTTATACACGAAAGAACTACCATCAATGAACTATGCTGCAAATACTGGAAAGAAATCCATGTTCCTTAACAAATGTGTATCCAATGGGTAAACGTATCTGCTTCCATAATCTTTCTTTCTAAAGTTACTTGCTAATTGCTATATGAGTTTCATAATCTTATCAATGCAGAAAGTATTGCACTTTGGTTTTGAAATCTAAGTCTAAGGAAAGTTCTGGAGAGGTACGCTTGCTTATAATCATAGTAACTGGATTGAATAAACAGACACAATGTTTGCTGCTTGCTGTCAATTTACTTTTATACCCCTGTACAGGTTGTTGCTGCAATTAGTTTTCAAATAATTCCAGCTGATACTCAATATGCTGAGGTTCCACTTGCTGCTGTCAGCTCAATTTACCAACATAAGGTCTTCCTTTGATACAAAATTAGTCCAAAGTTTCTTGATTAATTTCACACAAATAACTTAATTTTGAACCTTACAGGGCATTGGGCACCTCATATATCTGGAAATGAGGAAAAGACTACAGAGTGTTGGTGTTCATTCTATATTTTGCTGGGCAGATGAGGAATCTGAAGGATTTTGGCTTAAACAGGTAACAAATTAATTCTTTCTATTGTAATTTGTTTTGTTATTTAGATGCATCTGATTATGAAAATGACAGGGATTTATATCAGTTGGTGAAGTAGATGCCAAGGGTAAAGCTAGAAAGTTACCAATTAAAGCAGACATTAGGAAAGCTTTAAGCTTTCCTGGTGGTTCAACCCTCATGATTGCTCATCTTCACAATGAATCTTCAGATAACTCTTTACAAGTTTCTTCTCTTTTAAAGTCTTATGAAAAGTCAACAATGGGTCAAAGTCAACATCCTGGACCTGGAGTTGAAAATCTGATAACAGGTTGCCAAGATCTTGTCTGTATGGATAGTCTGGAATGCATGAATACAGAAAACAATTTAGAAGGTGGTATCAAAATCAGTACTGATGGTGTTTGTTCATGTTCTTCATCTGGTGCAAAGAAGAGGACTTGGGAATCCTCTCATACCTCCTCACTGAAGTCAAAAAAAGTCAAAGGAGGTCATATGATTGTGTGTCAATCAGAAAGTGGGTGTGTTTCAAGAAATAACAAAACAACTAGTCATCATGATTCCTATAAAATCATGCTGATGAACATTGCTGATGATGCTAAAAAATCAAATCTTACAAAGGTAAAGTATTTTAGTTTAATCTCTTAAGTTTTCTGTTTGTTTGTTTGTTTAATGTTTATAAATTTAGCACAGATAATTGAGGATCTCGGTGGGTCTGTTACATCTGATGGAAGAGCAAGCACACATGTAATCACTGGAAAAGTCAGAAAAACTTTAAATTTTTGTACAGCTCTTTGCTCAGGGTGAGTTTTACTTAATTTTAAGTTTCAAGATAGAATTTTTTTTTTTTACAAAATTATTGTTTATTACTTCAAGTTTCATGTATACAGAGCTTGGGTGATATCACCTGCATGGTTAAAAGAAAGCTTCAGAGAAGGCAGATTCGTAGGTGAGTTAACAATTTCAGTCTTGAAAAGAAGGGCAAAATGGTCATTTTTATTTAAAAAAATATATATTTTACAGATGAAACGGATTACATTGTGAAAGATGTTGAATATGAGTTGAAGTATCGAACAGAGTTAAAGAATACAGTAGTTAAAGCAAGAGCAAATCCTGGAGGCTTACTTAAAGGATTTGAAGTATGTCTTGCAGCTCATGTGCAGCCTCCTGTGAGTACTATGTCGGCTATTGTGAGGTCTGCAGGTGGAAATGTAAGTTGGATACTTCCTTTTTATTAAAAAGAAAAAAAGAAAGTGAATGAATTGAGTATATATATGTATATTTTTTATTTAAAAAAATGTAGGTGATTGGGAGTGTTGAAAAAGCAAAGGATTCAGGGAAAGCGATATTTGTTGCAAGTGAAGAGGGTATGGAAGAAGCATTGACAGCTGTGAAGAAAGGGATTGCTACTTTTAGTAATGAGTGGTTTATGAACTGTGTCATGAAACAGGAGCTAGACTTAGAGGCTCCTAAATTTGCTGAATCTCTTTAAACTTTAAGTTAAGTTTTCAAGAATTATTGTAAGAATTGATATGTAAAAATTTATACTCTTTTTGTTGCATGTTCTTGTTTAATGCAATCAATATCTGGTACGACCCACGCACATACACACAAATAGTTGGTATTGTACAACCATGATATTCAAAAAAAATTATCATTACAATGTCATGATTACTCATTTAGTATAGTGTTAACATCTAAATATGTTAGCTACCAAACATATCAGCTATAAATTATTTATAAATGTTGAAATTATTTGGTACAAATTTGACAACCTTGCTCACATTGATAATTTTTACAAAACTAGATGGAATGAAATCAAATATGACATAAAATGATGATGTAGACATTGGTGTTATAATCATCAATTTTAGGAAGTTCCTTCCCCCAAAAAAAGTATAATCATCAATTTGCAAAAAGAAAAGGCACATCGATCACAATCAAGAAAACCATGGATGCCCCCCAACTTCATTTGGATTATAAAACCTGTACGAAACGGTTTTCAAAATTTCTAATTTCAATCTAAAAAGTCAAACTACATTTCTGTTTTGATGAATAAGAACAAAGAGATTTAGTCAATTTGCCTCATCCAAATGCTTCTGATACAATTTCAACAGTTCTGAGGCTTCCTCTTCATACCTCTTCACAAGCCATTTGAGAAACTTGCTTTCTGAATACATCAACCATTTGTTGAAGCAAAAACCATCTTTCTCCTCAATCAATCCTTTCTCTGCTAAATACTGATAAACCAAACACCTAGGAATAATCCTCTTCTCTGAGCTAAAACAAATAACTATCGGCCATTGAACAATGTAGCTTCTTTCCCACCCCATCGTATTCACAAGAAAATCCAAGATTCTTGAAATTTTATCAGGTGAAGCCATCATACACCCTGGATATTTCTCAAAAGCCACAAAAATCTCATCTTCAGACCAACCCCATTTCTTATAAAGCTCTATCTTCTTATCCCATGTGGATTTGCTCATTGCCCTAATAGCATGAATAGCCCAAAGAAATCTTGATTTTGAAGGGTCAAACCCCATTTCCTTCACATCCCCAACAACCTTTTTAAATCTATCAGCAGATGTAAAGAAAGTTCTAGGTTGTTGCGCTAACATTGATGCTATTCTAAGTTTAGGAACCCCTGTATCAAGTAGAAGTTGAATGTTTTCAGCAGCATAGACTTTTAAATCGTAAGTTAAAGCAAGAGGGAAGCGCTTAATGCAACTGGCAACTTTATCATCGGACCCTAAAACGCTTTTTAAGTAGTTAAAACATGGAATGGCTGTATCTTGCAGCTTTTTAGCCAAAATACCTTTCGGTCTAGCGGCTACAATTGCAGCAATATCGGTATTTGAAAGACCTAATGAATTCAAAGTCTGGAAATTAGGTAAAAGGGTCGTTTCAGGATCGGATAATAGGAGTTTGGGGCGCGTATAAATCACCTTTGAAACTTGTGATTTGGTGAACCCATAGTTGTTGAGAAAGGCCAGAACAGAGTCTGCCGTGTTTGGGGATTTTGATAGATCTAGATGTTTGGAGACTAGAATTGCATGTTCGGAAGAAATCCCACATGAATTGATGAGGTAAGTTACTGTAAATGAGTGTTGATTTAAGGAAGCTGATGTTTTGGTTGTAAATGGAGACGACTTGGACGCGGAAGAGGATAAGGAGCCATAGCAGCACAGTTCGTGGTTGATATGAGGCCTCGCATGGATTAAAAATCTTCTACGTATGAAATTAAACACCATTGCAACTCACGATTAAGAATTTTAAAATAGCACCTTATATACGAACCTTGAGCACTAAACCCTATTTTTCGAGAGAGAAATCCCATAGGCTATGGTGCGGCTTCATTTTCATCGGTAAGCACATAGTGACATAGGGGCGTGAAGAAAATATTATTTTTGTTTAAAAGAGATGAGAAAGGGGTAAACACGAATTGAAAGAAATTACAACAAAAATAAGATCAAAACTCACATGTTGAAACAACCCTGGCACTTCACGTCCCGTAATTGCAAAATTATAAGTTATTAGATACAAATTAGGGTTTTGTTTACAAAAAAGTAAAAGAAGCCTAGATACCATGAAGAAAGAGTTTGGTGATTGGACCGTTTCAACTTATGCATCTTCTTCTCTAACTCAGTTAGGGGATTAAGCAGATCGAAATTGTTTGACAGATCATATAATATTCGATAAATCCATTATCACACATACTCACAACGCAAACCGAAGAGAACTGATGAGTCCCGACTCCAAATCTTAGCTCTCTAACCGATATCTATTTCCACAAAGTGACAAATTCCATCAAAATCCCAAAATACCCTCAATGTCAAACTTGATCAAAGTCAAAGTCAACAGATTAAATCCACTGGGTCAACTAAATCAACCCATCCGAGTCAACTCAACAAGGTTGACCTAGTATGAGTACGCGGGGTGTACTCCGGAGGTACGCATGTCGTACGCGAAACCTCACAAACCTCACAGTTGGCCACCATCAGGGTGGTGGACCGAGTATGCAGGACCTACTCCCATATACGTGGGGCGTACTCCCATGCTAGACTTTTTTCGTGTTCTTCATCCGGTGCAAAGAAGAGGACTTGGGAATCCTCTCATACCTCACTAAAGTAAAAAAAAAAAAAAAAGTCAATGGAGGTCATATGATTGTATGTCAATCAAAAAGTGGTTGTGTGTCAAGAAATAACAAAACAACTAATAATCATAATTCCTATAAAATCATGTTGATGAACATTGTAGACGATGCTAAAAAATCAAATCTTACAAAGGTTAAGTATTTTAGTTTAATCTCTTAAATTTTCTCTTTGCTTTTTTCTTTAATTTTTATAAAAATAGCTGATAATTGAGGATCTTGGTGGCTATGTTACATCTGATGGAAGAGTAAGCACACATGTAATCACTGGAAAAAGTTAGAAAAACTTTAGTTTATTTAGCTCTTTGCTTAGGGTGAGTTTTATTTAATTTTAAGTTTCAAGATATTTTTTTTCCAAATTATTATTTATTACTTCAAGTTTTAATTTGGAAGTTTAATCATGTATGCAGAGCTTGGGTGATATCACTTACTTGGCTAAAAGAAAGCTTCGTAGAAGGTAGATTTGTAGGTGAGTTACGAGGCTTTAACAATTTAGTCTAAAAAAATGGGAAAACAGTTATTTTTTTAAAAGAATACTTTACAGATGAAATGGATTACATTGTGAAAGATGTTGAATATGAGTTGAAGTATCGAACAAACTTAAGGAATACAGTAGTTAAAGCAATAGCAAATCCTGGAGACTTGCTTAAAGGATTTGAAGTATGCCTTGCAGCTCATATGAGTATTATGTCAGCTATTGTAAGGTCTGCACGTGGAAATGTAAGTCAAATACTTCCTTTTTATTAAAAATAAAAAAAATTGAATGAATTAAATATATATTTTTTATTTAAAAAAATTTAGGTGATTAGGAGTGTTGAAAAAGCAAATAATTCAGGGAAACAATATTTGTTGCAAGTGAAGAGGGGATGGAAGAAGCACTGTCAGCTGTGAAGAAAATAATTACTACTTTTAGTTACAAGGGGTTTATGAATTGTGTCATGAAACTGAGCAAGACTAGAGGCTCCTAAATTTGCTGAATCCCTTTAAACTTTAAGTTAAGTTTTGAAGAATTATTGTAAGAATTGACATCCCCATTTGTGTAAAAATTTCTACTCTTTTTGTTGTACGTTCTTGTTGGTTGCAATCAATACCATGAAACTTTATTGGATGAGAATAGAGTCTTATTTACGATCAACCACAAAAATGCAAGACATATTATTTTTATCAACTTATATGACATATTTTAACTATGTAATATAACAAATTATTATTTACACATTTTACTTATAAGCATTTGAATGGAACAAACTTTAAGTTTTTCACTATTTTATGTAAGCTAGTAAAATAAAGGGATAATAACCTATGAGGGTAATCATCTTTGTCGTTTTATTCACATTTAGGTAACTTCTTTATTTTTGTACACATTTGACCATTTAACTTGTTATATGAGTTCACATATTGTCATTGCCACCGACTATAGCAGGTGACAATGGTAATATATGAACAAATTAACAAGTTAAATGCTTAAATGTGTACATAAATAAGAAAATTGTCTAAATGTGAACAAAATGAAAAGTTAATTACCCTGATAAGTCATTTTCCACACTTTTAATAGCGATTTTATTTTTTATATTTATTTGTTTTATTTTTTTTCAAACGTTATTTTTAAACTATCCATAATTTTCTAAATATTAATTAAATATTGATCAATTTTATACTTTACTTTTTAATTAATAAATATGTTTTTATTTTGTGAAATATTTCATATAGCCTCTTTTTATATATATATATATATATATATATATATATATATATATATATATATATATATATATATGTTTTTATGAATATACAATATTTTTAAAGTAAATAATATGTAACAACAAAATTAAATAAATTAAATATGTAACAATGTATGGAGGACCTTTTAAAAAAATAAAAAGAACATATTATTTAGCAAATAAAAAACAAAAAAAAATCTATATAATGTAAATGTTTTAAATTTATTCTATGTTTCTACCACTTTTTAATTAGTAGTTAATAAATTTTCAATTTTTTTTAATACAGTGTTTTAAGCTTGTATTTAACGAAAATATTTTAAAATGTTATAAAGAAATATTAAATTTTCATATAAAATCTGTGAAACACTTTTAAAATGTTGTAAAAAAAGTTTAGAAATAAATATATGAAAGTTACAAAAAAATTGTATGAAATTTAAAAAAAAAAACAAGTTAAAAACTTGTAAGAAAAATTTAAAACGTTTATAAAATATTTGGTTTAAAAGCAATTGTATTAAAATTATATGAAAGTATAAAAACAAATTATAAGCAAAGTTTAAAACATTGTATTAGAAAAACCTATAGAGAAAAATATCATAAAAATATTGTAAGAAGTTATAAAATTTTTTAAGAAATTTGTAAAAAAAAAATTGTTCATATTTGGACAATTTTCTTTTTGTGTACATATTTAAGCATTTAACTTGTTCACATATTAACATTGTCACCTGTTGCTTAAATGTGAACAAGACGAAAAGGTAATTACCCTTTCAAGTTATTTTCCCTAAAATAAAATGAGTTTGTTTCATCAAATGATTAAAAATATGTTGTGGAATGCTAAATGGTGACCATATGTTGCCTTTTTAGGTTATGTTTAACAAACTATTTGAAAAAACTAATTTCTAGTCGAAAAACTTAGCTAATAATTAAAAAAATAACTGCTAGTTAATAAAAAATGTTGTTTGTCAAAATAAGTTAACTAAAAATGTAAAATTTAATACAGTCATGTAGAAGAGTTAATGAGTATTATAAGAGAAATACAAAATATATTTAATTAAATTAAAATTAGTATACCACTTGGACATGCAGAAAGATGTATATACCAAATGGACCAAAACTGTAATATAAAGTTATTATATTTGGATATTAACTAAATTTACACTTAACAATGTTAGTTTAACGATCGTGATGAAACCCACAAATGAGGATGCAAATCAAAATTTATTGGACCTAATCTAAAGGAAAATGCAAACCACAGGGACATTTTTGCAAATTTGATTTTGTTTACCTTATATCATGTCAAATTGTCACGAGTCGCGAGTTTACCTTTTCCTACAATATTTACCGGCTTTAATATCTTTGAAAGAAAGTAAAAGTTCGTATTCAATTATCCAAAACCCTTCGGGGTTCGATGTTGGAAGAAGTTCAATTTTGTACCCAAAAATGGCGGCTGAAACTGCGGTTGCTTCACATTTCCACCGTTATTGCGGTTGGAGTCGAAGGAGATACACCACCGGAATTAACATTCGACGATGTGTGCTAACTCCAGCTACTGCTTCCTTGTCTTCTTCTTCTCAACCCATGGATATTCACACCAGCAAATCCTACAAACAGCTCGGTTTGCCTTCTTCTATCTACTTATTCCCCTCCAAACTAACAACCCTGTATTTTTCTACTTCCGATGACTTGAGTCTTACTCTTTCGGAGTTGAAAATTGATATTGGTTTTGAATTTCTAGGGAAGAACATACCAAATTGATATAATTTTGATAACCAGTGTCTAATTTGCAGCCAATTCATTTATATTTTGCAATTGCACAATAAGGATTCAGGAGTTTAAATGTGGCGTTCGTATTTGGGAAGTAAACTCTGCTATCTTTCAGCTTACCCTTCTTTGTAGTGCTCTGTTCCTCAGTTGTTGCAGAGAGTAATTGTAAATGAACGCCAGCTCATTTTTCTTCTTTCGAAAATGCATCTTTTCCTCTTTAACTCAAGAACCTACTAAAGTAAAATGGTACCCTTTGAGGTTTTAGGTTGGATTTATGTTTATATTTACGAATTTAACACCAAGAACATTCTAACTGTAGCATTTGTTAGGAAATTTCAATGTCTTCATAAATATTTTTGAGTTGGTTGCTAAACTGCAAATCCTATATACCTTCACTATAAATTTTTTATGGATGTATATGGGTGATTTGTGGTTTGTGCAGGTATGTTCTCATTGAGAAAGAAGATAGAAGATTCAGTTAATCGTGCTGAATTATTAGGTCTAACTGCATTGGAATTTGAAGAAGCACGACAAATCAAACAAGAAGAAATGATTCGCGAGTATGATTTATGGGATGACTTAGCCAAAACCAGTGATATCCTTATTAAGTTAGCTGATAGTGCTAAAGTGGTTGATGCTCTCAAAGACCTCACATACAAGGTAATGCTCTAAACCAAGGGTATCCTGGTAATTTACTCTTATCATGAAATCCCACATCTTGTAATTTACAAGATTATATTG